TTCAAATTTGCTTTTGTTTGACCGGAATGAAACGCGAACGAACAACGTCCATCCATTTCCTTTTATTTCATGCAATACAGACGGAATACAAATACTGCAAATACCGCTCGCATATCTAATATTCATGTGTATGTTAATTGATGGAGAGACGCAAGCCACCAGAATGTAACGATAATCGCAAACTTTGCCGAATCCCTCCTGCCGCCGCTCCAAGACGTGAAAATATTTACACGAACTTGATCCGGGTAGCGACAATCCAGCTCTTGAATGAGAAAACAGAAAGAGAGAAAATAAATACATCTATTTATATATGGAAGATAAAGAACATGAGAGAAAGAGAAAGAGACAGAGGGAAAGAATTTATACAAGTAAATGCGAGAAATAAAAGGAAACAAATGTTAATGGAAGTAAGGAAAAGCGAACGTGAAATAAATGTAAGCATGAAATCGCGAAATAAGAATGTATTATCTGAGCTTAGGTATATTATAAATTTACTTTTGTTCTGAGGGTTGGGTGTAGGTACATATTTTTTTTTTGTTGAGGGTGAGTTAGTATGGATTGTTCCATCTCTTTAGAGGGATCAAACGGTGTCCACCGCCCACACATTAAATGTATACCTTTTTCCACTAAAGCCGATCCAAAGTAATGATGGTTAAGCTTGTACTTACTAAATGCACCTAACTTTATTAATGACAAGATTTACTTTACAACGCGTAAATTTAATTGTGCATTAACATTTATATTCAACAATTTTGTAATCAATTATTTTACCAATCAATAATAATAATAAATTAGTCATAGAACATAGAACTATTCAATGTTTCATGTGATTATTTTTGCTATTATTATAAATTGTTATTTGGAAAAACATATATTTTCATAGTTTTATTTCTAAAGAATAATCATATTTTAGCAAGTAGTAATTATTTCACATATTATAATTACGTAAATTTTCTATAATTACTAAATGCACAAACTTATTATATATTATATTTAAAAAAAAGTATTATGCATATATTTGATTACGTTTGACCATATGTATTTATTAATTTAGAATTGTTTTGTTTATATTTATTATAAATTTATGTTTATTTATTTTGATAATAAATTTATTGTTTTATAAATAATTATTAATATACTTATTTCGTGGATTGTTTTTTTCTACAAATATGTATAATATGCGTTGTTGGTAAAATCACTGCGTTATTGTTTCAAAAATCAATATGTTATAACATTCATGCGATTTTGATAAATCATACTAAATACTTTATTACTTGATATTTTCAGTATTCAATACGTTTTATATTTCAATAGTTTCATAACATAATTAGGTTATATACGCAGTTTTACACAGTTTTATATTATTTATACGAGGTTAATCTATGATTATTTATTTTTGTTTATTTTGGTCAATAATAAGAATAATTATTTATTTAATTTATTAATTGTATTATATTTCAACTATTTTAACTAATGCAATGTAACAAAAAGCATGCAGTAACAAAAGCGAGCAGTATAACAACCACATCAAATTCACGCACAACATTCATTCTAGTGCCTTCCCTCCCTGGAGTTTGGTATTGAAAGTATTTTAAAAATACAAACAAAAATTTGGTGTTATGGGTATTTCCATATACACTTTAATCTTGGGGTACTAACAGCTGTATTTTAAAAAAACATCTTATGTATTTAACGTGGTTGTTTTACTGTGCGCTTTTGTTACTAAGCGGATTTGTCTGCGCGCTTTTGTTACTACATGTAGTAATTAATTAATTGGAAGTTATGAAAAAAAAGTATGCATTATCTACTTAGTATTTTCGTTTAAATTATATAATAATATTTATTGAAACAGTTAAACATATATAAATAAATAATAAAAAACGTATTTATATAATCATAACACACCAAAAAATAATCATTAAAATATTGGTTCAAATTATTACTCTTTATCAATATTTGCTTCTTCAGTTTAAGTAAACGCGGTTTATTAAGGTCAGTTCTAAAGTCCTGTTTAGCACTACTTATCAGATTTGTGTAAACTTGCACGTGAACTTTGTTCTAAATGAAAAGTAACATTTCTCGAATTACAATTTAATTAACAAATTAACGTTTATGAATGTTTTCAATAATAATTAATCACAATTGCAATTAATTTTCTGGCTTTATAATTGTAATGGAAACATATATAGTACAGCAATATTTCGTGCGGGTAATAGGTTAATATCTCGCACTGTTTGAAACCGGATTAATCGAGGACTTTATAATTGTATAAAAATAAATATCACAAAAAAAGAATTGTGTACTAATTGTTTTTGCTTAATTAATTTTTTATTTGTAAATCTCAAACCGTTCTGCAGTGAATCTATGCAAAGTATTGCCAATTATTATTTAAAATATGTAGTGAAAATATACAAATTGTGATTTCTAAAAAAACATCAATGTCTTCTATTTCTTAATACATTTATGTGCATTATAGAGTTTGATGTTCAATGATCAAATCTATTTCATCTGTCCCTAATAACAAAGAGTAACATACACCTTTGTTAAGGTTATTACGCAATCGTTCGAATTGATTCGATGTATATTTGTTATTTCAAGTAGATTGTTCTCTGGATCTGCACAAAGAGACTCGTTTTTCCTACAAGGACGATTATGCAAAAAGCCGATAGATCCGAAGATATGCCGCTCTTGCATTTTTAATTTGGGCTCGTTCTAGGCTTCGACGTGCTGTTGCATTTTACCTCAGAATTGAGGTTAACTTGATTCTTGTATCAAGTCTACGTGCAACTCTCAAACTTGATTTCGTTCCAATTCTTGATTTATTAATTATTTTCAACAATAATTTATTTCGTTTACTTTACAGCTTAAAAAAAAATCTAGGAAATGCCATTAATTCTTTTGTAATTACAGAATGTGTTTTAATTTGAAATATTCTCGTTTTAGGATTATTCCTTATTTGATTTTTTTATGGTTTTGCTCACTTTGTCGGTGTGGATATATTAACATTCATTTTTATATTGCCACTAAAAGTAGACTTTATGTTTGTAATAATAAGACATCATGTATTTTAATGATCTTTCAGACAATAAAATATACAGTCGATTCCACTTCATTGGGACACAGAATCCTATAGAACGAAAACAAAACTAAGGAATTAAAACAAATTTACTCCGTCTTTTCGGTACAATTCCGTCTCATCTGGACAACAGTCGTGTACAAATCCCAATGTGTCCGAATTAAGCAGAATCGACTGTATATCGTTGATTTATTTCTTTTTGTTAAACTTTTATATAGATATGTGAGCAGTGTTGTGATTTTGACAACTTTCTAAACTAATCTGAATATCCGATGATCTCCGTTCGTGCATCATAGGAAACGTGTTTCCTTACAAATCATCAACGTACAATCACTATTCGAGAACTCGTTGCCATTGTAATACATGTTCTGATACAAATATCCGTTCCATTTTAGAGAAGTGTTACTCCGGGCGATTTCTTCGAATTAAAAAAAAAGCAGTTTCTAAAGCACTTTGATTGCTTAATAATCATTAGTCAATTAACGAATTGCTTCACCAAAACTCGTTTCTATGGAAACTGCTTCATTTCAAACATAAATGTATTTCTTGGTGAAACTATTGTTATAAGATTCATTATTATTTATGTTTGCAATTGTACGAGTTCACTTTACACAAGTTAATTAATACAGCATTTGCAGATTCTATAAATAATTATTCTTATATTGGATGTTCCAGCCTTGTAATATAATTTACATAATTATTTATATTTCTTATGATTCATGGCTTGAAATAATCAGTATATTTATGAAAAAAAATCTTACAATAGTTAACATTAATTTAAAACTTGCTTCTAAATAATCTGCATTTAAATACAGTAATACTTCGTATAATGCGGTTTCAATCAGTCCGGATTCTCTATTTACTTTTAAATTTTCAAATAAACGAAATAGTCAAGTTTTGTACAATTAATTAAAGTCCTTGATTAGTCCTGTTTCGCACTATGTGAGATATTGGTGTATATTTAAATTAAGCATTTTTTTTTTGCAAATGTAAATTTTCTCTTATTTTATTTAAAATTTTACAAAGAAAATATCTGTATAATTTGGTTTAACTAAAATATATATATTTATATGATTTCTTAGAAAATCTTGGTATTTTTCTAGTCCTTATATACAAATTGGAATTTCCACATTAAACTTATATTATTTTGTGGCCAGTTAATGTAAACTACCAAATATGACTAATCTTTTGGTAAATTTATAATTCACTTTTAAATAAATATTAAAATGTATTTTCAGTTAGCGTACATAATATGCATAAAAATTAACGTACGTTAAGCGAATGTACATGAATCGTATGTTGAATATTCATATTTCCGTTATATAGATGTTTTTTACTGAATTCATATATAATATTATTTTCTTAAAGATAATATAATAAAAATAGAAATATGATTTCACGAATGAGAAAATAATCAAGAAATTATGCGTAATTTATTATATACGTTTGTACAGTGTCTAATAATAAAAACACATTTGAAAGGAAGCAGTCGTTTGTTTTTCTGTATATAATTCATAATAAATTAGAGAAAGTATATACAGATTTAACAGAATAAGAAACTCAAGATTTTGTCCCCAATCAATATTCTACACTTTCTTTAAAATTGTTTTTCCGCCCTTTACTTCCACATTTACTAAATATCAAATAATAATAAACAAAATTTATTGTGTAATTAAATCAATCGAAGATTATTTTTTTTTAATACAAAAAATATATTATTCTATAAACTAATTAAACTATTGGAAAGAAAGTCAATGATTATAATTACCATTTTCCGACAGTCAACTTCCGATTGGGAATTTTAGAAAGTTGAACAAACCAAATACAATATTGTTTATTTCATTTCGTTCGAAGCGCGTGATTTTCATTCATCTTGCGGAAATTACTTTCTTCTTTTTAATGACATAATTATATCATTTTTTGCTATCGAAATAAGTAAGTAATAAGGATTTAATTTAAGAGTATTTTTTTTAACAAGCTTAAGATTCTATAGCAATATAATTGCATTTTTAGTTGTTTTTTTGCTTTAATTTATATTTATAATAAACAATGATAATAATATTTTTTACAATAATTAAATTATTATAAAAGTAATTAGAGAGAGAGTGAAATAAATCAATATTTTAAATTGTCATATATACAACTTTTAGTTCGTTAACCGAATTAATTGGTTGGTTCGTGGTCTGAATATTGTTCGAACACAAAAATATCACGAAAGTGTTCGTAAACCGAATTTTTCGTTAATACATTAGATTTTATAAATTAATTGAGTATTTAATGGTCAATGCATTTGATATTCTTTAGAATTCGGCTAACGAACATAATACGTTCAAAGATGTTGTTCAATACTCGAATTGTTCGTTAACCGATCATCAATTTAACGTCAAAAGTAGGTAACGTGTACTTTTGTCCAATTGTTACCGATTTTATACAGAAAATAATGGTTACACATTTTTAATACGGCTCATAATTTTTTTTTTCTTATTTGTTATTAATTAATAATTTTGAAAGTTTTGTAATAATTTCACTAAAATTTTGAGCTAAATAAATATGCGATTATGGACAATTTTATGATTAGAAATATTTTAATAAAATTAGCTCTAAGTTCTAACTTTTCCTACCTGCTAGATTTCTCTACGAATAAGACAAAGTATATAAATAAATAAAATATAATGGTAATTTGTGTCTTTTAATATCGTTAAAATTAATTAAACATCGTTGTATTCCGCGAACTATTACTTAATAAGCTCTTTATGTTGGGCTTTATTTTGTGTTGAAAATTATAATACGATTCACTGCAGCACTATAAATACATAACGAATTTCATTTGCTCACAAAGGTAAGAACATACATTCGCAAAATAATCTACAAAGGGCTATAGGAATTTCCGCTCTTTCATGCTTTCAATTTTAATTCCCATTGAATGTTCCATCTCCGCCATTCCGAATGTAAATTTTATTAATTATTTGCCTGCAAATGTCCAGTACTAATTAATTAATACTTCATAAGCAGTAAGAGGAAATATTCCTAGTTAATTAAAACTCGTCAACAACTCTCATGTCCACTGACATATTTCAATCGTTCCTTTGAAATACTTATTTTTTAACTATCATTATACGAACAAATTAATTGTAAATTACATAATTATTTTTAACTATTATTATATGTTAATTCGGAAAACATATATAACTTATAAAATGTTCATTTTTTAATCATGGCCTCTTTTCGTAGAATCATTTTCTTATTTTAATCTTATATTAAATCACCAGTAATTTTCGGTTATATATATTTACATATACAGCTTCTGCTTTTCTCTTGTCGCCATTTAAGCTTTAAGCTACCTGCGGCGACGTTCCCAGAATCTGGGATGACCATTAATACCATTCATTTACCAGATTCAACGATCCAAATAATTACACAGTCAACACACTTTTTTTTGTAACAAATGAATTAAAATTGAAAAGATCTACAATATCTTTAGTATATTTTTTTTTATCAATAATTCACTACAGTATAGTTTGGAATTTTGAATAAATTCAACTATGATTAGTCCGGTTTCAAACAGTCCGGTATTGTACTTTTTCAATTCCTAAAAGATGATTTTCTTGTAACGCCAAATGAATGAAAATCATGTTACTAAGTTCAATAAATCTTACGTGGCATACTTCTTGTTAAAAGGTCAGGTGACTTAAGTTGTAAGGACGTTAGACAAGATGAAAAATTCATACATTTCTATAGAAAAATGTCATTGATGGTAGTGAGTCACTTAGATCAATAAAATTACAACAATTGTAGGCGTATTGTAATGCTATGTTATATAAATATGCATTAAGTAAAAGAAATCAGTTTTTAAAAGAATGAATTTTATAAGTTCAGTATTTTTTGCGCTTTTAACACTCAAATCGATTTGTTTTAATCGTGTAAAAACGTTCAATATATTTTCTATTTATATTTATTTAAATATAGGAATACAGCAGTATCTCTTGCATAGTGCGGCTTCAATCAGTGCGGATTCACTATAGTACGGTTTGAAAATTTCAAAACAAACTAAATTTTAAATTGAAATAAAATAAATTCTAAAAAAATATTTGTTATACAAAAACTGACGATTTTTATTTTAAAATTTCATTATTGTCCCATGCTAATAAATATATAGTTTATTATTTAAATACATTTGTAGTTTTCTTTAAATTAATTATTTCTTTCTAATATGCAGAATTATACTAAAAATTCGGCAAATTAAAATTGTTTAGTATTTAAATAGGAAAAACAAAATTTTATTGAGTTAAAATAAAGCGTTGGAAATACCAATTTGTTGCGCATTTGAAATTTAACGGTGCAGATAAATAGCAGATTTTCTGTGTAACTTTAGACGTATTATGTCGCAATGCATAATCGGTTCGGAGAACTGGCATTTGTCACAGCGATGAATGAGTTTGTTCGTTTTTGGAACTTTCATATTGAACTGCATGTGTCCTTACGCATGAAACGTTGGTTGTTCTATATGTATATATATGAAATGCGTGAGCGATGGACATGAGGGTCGGGGAGGAGTCATTAGTAATATTAAGTATCCTAATTGAAATTCATTAGCACTCGTCATACTTCTGATGAATAATTTGAATAATTAATCAGAAATCTGCGCTGATGAATATGTATTTCTCATGGAGAAAAAAGGTATTTTTATCCTCGAGATGGTGATTGTGCGGTGGCGCGGGAGGCGGATGGGGACACATGTTGGAAGGTGCGATTCTATTTATAGCAACTGATTGAAATTGGTAATTGGAAAAGAGTTTGGTAGATTATTGTCGGTTTTTACCTGCGCATTTGAAGGAACTGTCAGTAGAAAAGGCCTCGAATCGGACGGTGCACGGCGGCTCGCCAGAACAGTGATCTTTAATATTAAAGGTGACCTCACTATTCACCGTTATTCCTTTACATGTTCTATCCACGACCGATTTCTCGTCGTAGGCACATATCGAAACATCGCCGTAGCCATTCCCCTTAAACTTGAGAAGAACGCTTTTTTATTAGGAGGCTATTAGATAGAGGCTTGGAATGCCGAAGTACCTTAACCGAGACGCTGGCGGCGACCAGGTACTCCCCTCGGATCTGGTAGTATTTCTTCCTTCCCGGCGTCAGGTAGTCCTCGAACTCGTTGCTGGACCGATTGCCGAAGAAGTTAATGATTCCCGCCGGATGTCCGAGCAGCTCGTTTCTGATGGTTGCCAGGACATCGGAGATGCTTTTCTGCGGTTGTAGAATTACATCTCCTCTGCGCTTCAAACGTTTGAAGCCTTCATCTGCCACGAAGATGAATTTAACCTCAGGTCGGATTCTCCTTAAGGAGTACAATGACTCCAATGATTCGACCATATCGACGTCGCCAAGGGTCGTAGTCTGTCCCATGATCAGGACCACCGACCCATATGGCCGTGGGTCGGTATCATCGTCTTCTTGATAGTACCCAATGATGGTGTGCAAGCAACGAGTCAACGACAATCTCGCCGGCCCTGAAACATAAAGATACTCTTTCCTACTCTATCCAATTCGCATCTCTTTTTCTCT